CTCGATTTAAAGGCCAGAAAAATATAACAGGATTCGTGGCATAATTTATTAACTAATTTATTAACTGATTTATAATAATATTTTCGGTTTGAATTTAGTAATTTATTTTAAACTAACTTCCCGATCATCTAGATACTTGATATTTTGAACATAGCCCAGAATCAGATGTCAATGTAAGGACGTGGATTAATAAAATAAATGTGGTATATTAAAAAAAATTATGCATTTTTTTTTAAATTGATTAGTATTGTTAATGAAATCCATACCAAAAACGCAACTTCAACAATGAAAAAATTAAACTGTTAAAATATTTACTATAACGGATCAGAGGGAAGCGAAATAAAAGAGGAAAACAATACGACCAATCAAATATTTTCTTCCAATTCCGACGAACACGGGCCGTTCTACTTACCTGCCACTCCCATCTCAATGCGGTCCAAATCAATCGAGAGAGAAAAACCCCTGATAATATAACCGAATTGAATTATTGTCCCAGATGAAGCCAAGAACAAAATAGGGTTGTCAGTAAGTAGTAATGTTAAAAATGCTGTACAAAATCTAATTTAAATGTACAATAATAAATATATTAGGTTCTTGTAATAATACCAGTAAAATCTTTTACCTGGCTTTGTCAATGTGGATGTTGTTATAATGTCAATAATCAAAATAAATTTTATTGTAAATCTAGTTCATTTAATTATTTTCAAATAAATCGGCAAGTTTGCAACCCTAGTAGTAAGGGGAAATAAGATGAGCGCCATCAAATGAAAGAATCGGTAATTCGATTGTATTCGCTAACAATCGATGTGACATCGAATAGGATGTTTGTTTCCACTCCGTTCGCGTAACGTAATAACGAAAACTGTTATAGGAATCGACTATGCAACAGGTCCGCCATTACGCTAGCTATAACAATGTAGCGTTTCACAACGCATCTGAAGAAAGAATGAAATCAAAATGGAAATCCATCCGAAACGTTTTCATTCCGATTGTTAGGAATTACGACATTGCATATGGCACATATTTCAGACGAATATTGTTGCTGAAGCTATTTGTGTGATAAATTAATTCGCTTTTTTTATAGGATCGGGTAACAAACGAGCACACAGTCCACCTGATGGTAAGTGGTTACTGTGACCCATAGACATCTACATCTATCCTCAATAAAGACTCAAGATGCAGATGGTTGTCACCCGTGAGGACTAAGATGGAATGACTCTTTGCCAGTAAAAAGGGTCTCCGGTTCTCTACACTCACCATACGAAACACAGCAGCGTTAAGCTGCTATTTTACGCTGGTTTTCTGTGAGAGCGTGGTCCTTCCCCGGTCGAGCAGACCCATTCGTGCTACAACCATAATATAGATGCAGCATGGCTCTACCACGTAGAGCCGACCCATTCGTGCTACAACCATAATATAGCTGCAGCATGGCTCTATAGATTTTAGATTTACTTACTATACACTATTAATGAATTATAAACACCATGAGGGGGAAGGGGGGGAGGAGGGTCGATCAAGGTAAATGAAAACACACGATCTTTTATTCTAGTGTCCTAATTGGTGACCACTGAAAATATACCTCACAAGCTCACCTTCCATCACACGATACTCTCGCACACTCCTCGTTTCGATGTTAGACTTAATTGGTTTTAGCCGATTTCAAAAAAGAAGGAAGGTTCTAAACTCGACTGTATGCTATTTTATATATACTCTATTTTTGTGAATCTCTTGTTATCAAATATAATATTCAAGGGTGCCATATAAATTTGGAAAGAAAAATCCTCAAGAGTAGGAAATTAGGGAAATGAAGTTTTTAAATACGTGAATTAAACTTTTAATAAAATGTAAGAGCTGATTTAAAACAAATAAAGAAGAAAGCAATTTTAATAAAACAGTTTTTGAAGTCAGGGATTTTATTCTCTTAGCACCGACTTTTGAAGCTGTTATTATTTTAAGTAATTTTACGTCAGCTTTTAATTTTTAATTAAAATTTAATTATTATACTATTAGTGTGACAAACAAGTTCATAGCCAACCTAATGGTATATAGTTATTGTTATTTGTTACTCTCTCACAAATAAAAACTTTTAAAATAACCTTTTTTTAACTTTTTATTTTATATTTTCATTTTATTATATAGGCCACACCACATATAAAAGCAACTGTAAAACGTTCTTCAAATCTTTTTGCAGAAAAGATTCCATTTGAAGTGAGATATCGTTAGATAAGTTTTTTTTAATATTCATAAGGTTTCACAAATTGTTTTCAGAAAGTAAGCGTAGTAAAAAAATAAGCTACTAACTGGCTTTAAAGCTCTGGGTTCTAGCCCTTCTGAGCATGAAGTTAAATGTATCATTATTCTTCATAGTACACTGCTTCACAATATGTTGATGCGTCACATTGTGTAGCCCTTGGGAGATTTTGATGGCAACTTGAGCCAGCAGACAGCTGACAGTTGGCAATGGTATCTTAAGTCGCCTAAGCACACAGACACCTTGAGAATCACATCACCATCAGAGCACTTGTTTCACTGTTTTCACTAATAGTTCACATGCGCAGACACTAAATACACAAAATCGCACCACTTTTACATATTAAAGTCCACTTCAAACCATTATTTAAACAATAATACAGGAGCAGCAAACCGCCGCCAGTCAAGTTCCCGCCAAAACTCCGTCTCGAGCATTTCGAGGTCATACATAAGTGACGTGAATTAATTAGTTTTTCCCCTACCAAAAATCGCACATCTCGGTTAAATAAGTTTTCACTTCAAAAATCTCCAAGTTTTTCATATGAAATTTAGCCTAGATCATACCTGGTATTGCTCTCAATCTGTTTGTGAAATTTGATATAGTTTTACGTGGTAGAGCCATTATATAGCTATATTAATAGTATAGTTGTAGCACGAATGAGTTGGCTCGACCGGGGAAGGACCACGCTCTCACAGAATACCAGCGTAAAATAGCAGCTTAATGCTGCTGTGTTTCGTATAGTAAGTGTAGAGAACCGGAGACCATTTTTACTGGAAAAGAGGCATTCTATCTTAGTCCTCACGGCTGACAACGCATCTGCATTTTAGCATACAAATATATATAATATATGCCCCCTGAGCTTTATTATTTATAGAAGCTAGTTATGTAAATATTACAGACAGACACTTCAATTTTATTTATATGTATAAAATTCTTTAATGAGCGATGATGTAATAAAGATCGAGTAAATGTACATTAAATTATTGCTTTAGTAATGATCAAAATTTCGGAGATTAATTTGAAGCTACATCAGTCGTTCGCTTCGATTATCGCTTCGATTTTCTTATTTCTAGAAAGCAAGAATATGTTATATATTTATTTTTTCTTTTAATTATGTTTTTAATTCTCACAATGACACATTCGATAAAGCCTTTTTACTTCGATAGGGACAAAAAGTCAAGAAAAATTATAAAAAAGCTTTTAGCATGTATACAAAAACACATTGTAATTAATTTTAATAAACTTTCCTATTTTTCGTAGTCTAATAATTAATAATTAAAATTAAAGTTTGGATATAACTCAAACAAAACAAATTTTGAGCAAGGTTTTCAAAAATTTAATTAATAACTAATTTTGTTGCCCGTTTAAACATGATTAAATTTCGTTAGAACCATAAAAATTAAATAAAATTAAAACCTAATAGTCAAACAAGGTATGTAACTTGTTAAAAGCAAATATTGTTTAATGCGATCGTAAACTTTATATTATAAAAAGGAATCGAAATGCAAAATATTATCATTGTTTGATTATATTTTCTAGAAAATAACCTCCATGCTGCGCAAAAAAAGCCACCACTTTTTATTTTTAAACTTAGTGTTAGGTTTATAAACTGATTGTACACTTAACAATACGTAATATAACAAGTTTAGTTGTGCTTTGTTGATGATAAGTCTTTTGTTTAAAAATAGTAACCAATCGTCAGAGAATCCTATGAATAAAATGTTAATTCATCCGATCATTTTTAAAATTAATAAATTTAATACTCTTAATAATTTATACTTTTTATAGCAAACATAAATAGTTCTCTGTGCTATGTTCTGTAAATATCGCTTTTGAAGAGTCGATGAACTTGAAAGGCCTTAAATTCTCAAAGTGGGAGTAAAGTGGGAATTATATATTAAATACCATTCTACATATTTTCTAAATAAATGTAAAATTTCTTAAAATCTATGTATCTGTTGTAGTCTTTCTTTTCCGTATGTAAAATACACGGCTATGATGGCCCATGAGCCATCCTCATAACATCCTATGAATTCTCCAATTAAAAATATTTTTCTCGCCTATAAATATTTATCGTACGGATAAAACTAATTTATTCGTTCGATTGTGGGACGGATGGACACCTCCATAAAAATATTACACACCAACAACAATATTTCTACAAAACGAACGGAACGTATGTACATTAATATGACAATACAGAAAAACATATACTCGTATAAAAATATTATCATCCTGGTTTTGAGGCTGTAAATAAATTAAACTTCAAAAAAAAATACAAGTAACACAACACGTTGGTATTTTTATATGAACACTGCAATTACTGTAACTAGAAGTAATTTTCTTAGTAGGGACTTTTTGAATCGGTGATGTATTTTTGAGTAAAAATATTTTGAAATTGACCTTGAACAAATTAAATATACAATTTTGAAACAATGATTTGCTACAAGCACAAAATTATTTTAGCCAAAATGTCTGATTTGTGACGAAATTTAATAAAGACTGAAATGATATAGTCATATTAATACTGATTAATAGTAGAAAAGAAAGCCAAACACGAAAATATTTAAATGTTGAAATCATTTGGAAATTTTCAGTTATTTATTATATTACAGTACCACCTATGCAAAATTTATAAATAAGCCTTTCATTTATTATTCTCATAAAGTAATCTAGACGCAATTGCAGTTTCAATCAAAACATGAATAGAGGAGAAGATAAACATATTAAACATATAAAACGCACTTACCCCGGTTAGCGTTTTGATATTGTGCAAAGCGTCCTGAGCTTTCAATGCCGCTTTGCGCGTGAAAAACGTCACAAAACAGCACCCTGTAACAGAAGCGCACACTTACATAACATGGCCACACACACAAACAAACATAGACTAATACCTACAGGGTATAACATATAAAACACATCATAAATATATCTGTAACGTTAGCAATTATGAGGCTTAGCTTTGAGATTATACTGATAATGTAAAACTACGTAACGTAAACTTCAAATGAAATTAACAATTTAAAAACACTAATAGTTAGGGGGTTTTCAAACAATTTTATAACCTATAGATTACACATTAAAACGAAAACAATAACATTTATATTGACAAAAAAATACATCAAATTAATTGGTCGTAAACATAAGTAAGGAATATTTTCCGTAAAACTAGTAGCATATTGCTGTTTTAAATGGTAAGATAAGAGAATTAGCGAGCCATAAGGGACTAGGAACAAGAAATTCTATCCCTTTCCACAGGGGTAAACGCATCTACGTTGATGACGGACATAGGTGTCTCTTTATACGCGAAATCATCTACCGACCCTTACGTGGATTATGTGCTCGCTTGTCACTAGTATAAAAAATGCGCGAGTGTCGTGGAACACTCGGTTGGAACGAAGTGCCTTGCGTAGTATATTATTTTTAATAAACGTAGGTATTATATTATTCATTAACAAATACACATAAATGAATTACTAGCATCTATTAAAATGAAGCGTCATTTGAAACAAAATAATATTTCTTTCATGGCAAGATAAGAAAAAGTGTGAGGGAGATGGATATTATTTCATCTCATTTCCTTATTTTGCCGCCAAGGCCGTCTACACTATGACAAAAAGGGTAGTGACGGAAAAATCTAACACTATTGGTCACCTAGCTCCCATTGACAGACAGACAGATGGACAACAAAGTGATCCTATAAGGGTTCCGTTTTTTTCTATTGAGTACGGAACCCTAAAAAATCATCAAAATTGGTTCACCTAGAAAAAAGTTCTGACGTAACGCACATAAAAAAAGTTAAATTGAGAACCTCCGCTTTTTTTAAATTCGGTTGAAAATGAAATCAAGTTAAGTCACCCTCAGTGGAGAACATGTATCTTAGAACAATTTTATCCAACAACATGTGTCGCAAACAATCCAAACATAAAGTTACATACAACAACAAATTACTACATGATAGTACTTCTTTTCTACCTGGAGCCGGTCTAGCTATCACCTTTTTGCCTATTTCTGCCGTCACTATGTGCCTGAACTGCTGTGTTCAGGTCTGAAGACTATATTTATCCAGAATAATTACAGACTGTGACGGTACTTCGTCTTAGTCCTCAGTGGTGACAACGCACCTGTAGACTTCTTTTTTTTTTGATGTTGTCTGTAGGTGTTCATGGGCTGCAGTCCGCCTATCATCTGGTGGACTGTAATATCGTTTGCCACTTCAGTTATATATATATATATATATATATATATATATATATATATATATAAATTGGTACCCCTTCTTCATTTTAATTCACCTAGCCACGAGCAGCCAACTTCAAGACACACCTCTTCTATCAGAGAAGAGTTGTCTTTATCATTTCGCTTAGCAAGCGCATTCAAATTGTAGTACCAATGTCTTACACCATCGATGTCTTCATCGGTCTGGGTGTGTCAAAAATGGTAGAAATGTTAGGTTAGTTATAGGTTATATCGCCGTCTATTGATGTACACGTATAAGTCCTTTCGTGTATTTTTTTGGTCGCCTTTGTTGCCAACGAGATGACACCCATTTCATACACGATTTTTTAATTCTACCTTCACATTTTACAACTCTTATGTGAATAATTATAAATCCACAGACCTATTTACAATTTTTTGATAGTGTCACCTAAACTCCTCATGCTGGAAAGGATGACTTATCGACACCCTTGCACTATTATTAAGTGGCGAAGCTTGCGAAGTCACTTATTGATTTCACGATGTCTGTCCGTCTATCCATCTGTCCGTCTGTCCGTCTGTCCGCCTGTCCCACGATTATCTCGAGAACGGTTTTGAATTTTCAAATTCTATTTTCAGCAATCGGTTACTGATCACCCAGGCATCTGAATCTCCTATTTTGAAACTGATTGCTCAACGGCAACCGTTAGAAACCGCTACAAAGCTGATTGCTTCGCCACTTTGCTATGCTGTTAGCTTGCTAGGTTTATTATAATTTGTATTACTATCACATTTTTGACAGTTAACAGGATACTCCACGTGTATATTAATAACTTTAACTATATTCTATTGACACGTTTATAAAATTAAAATAATATTTACTATCATAATTATCATAGAGTCCTACTTCCTGCTATCATATAGTACTAAGTATGCTAGCTGCGTTAAATTTATGTTTTATTAATATTGGCATGCTTCAATTATTTAAACTTAATATTCGTTATAACCATTCAGTAAAATTTTTAATCAGTTCGTCACGCAAACCTTAATGTGTGCGTGGTTGACGGGAAAATAGCATGTTCGGGCTAATCAGTTTCCACGCTAGCTACCGTCACTTTAGTCGACGTAAACGAGGCGAAGGGCGACATTAGCGTTGGCCTTTTAATAAAGTTTTCTTGTTTACTAGCTCTTTAAATTGTTTCAATCAGTCAAACGGTGGAAATTTTTGTGTTATTTATATTAAAATCAAGTTTAAATTTAATTTTGCAAATGAATTTTGATTAACTGATTTTTCAACGCTATTTAATTAATAATAATAATAATAATAATAATCTTTATTTTATTTTATTCATATTTATGTATGTTTACCATTTTCATTTACAATTATATATTTATACTGCCCAACCAGATGAGAAAACTTTATAGATACCCCATAATAATCTTTATTTCTCTCTACAAAATTACATTTTAAAATATCATTACATTTAAATATTAAGTAACTTATAAATGCTAGTTGTAGAGACTAGTGGCAATACTAGAATTCCCTGGGCTACAGCCGTATATTATTACGAGTATCATTGGATATTTAAAAATTAAATACCTGAAAATCTATAATAGCGACAATGAGTCAGATTGCCAACGATTCCAAATTTTGTGAGGCAATTCTGCAGTAGCAAATGTATTCTTGTATTGTAAAGAATAATAAAGTAGTCCAGCAAAAGTACTTCATTCTTTTCAAGTATTGATGAAAATACTTTAGTATCCGAAAAATTTGCAGTAAAGATAAAATGATATAAATTTGTTTCAAACATTAAACTTAATCGCTATAGCAATCGTACTGTAATTAATTTTGGATTTTAGTTCATAATATCCTTAATTTTTTTAATATGTTTAAAGGGTACAGTTATAATTAAAAAAAATTATGAACTAAAAATCTTAATTTTCCCGCCCATAATTCTGGTTTTTACTCCTACTCCTTTTCTGTCCACGCGGTAAGGTTGTGGAACTCACTATTGCCTAATATAAGAAATCCAGAAACATTATTGGTATTTAAAAAACGTGTTAGAGATAATTTCTTTGCATCCTGTTAATTAATATATATTATTTTATTATACTAGTATTAGGTTAAATATATTATATGTAACTATTGTATCTATGTATTATTTTTATTTATGGTATTATTTTATTTTTATTTATAGTATCATTTAATGTAATTTACGTATGTTTTTGTTTATTATTTACAGTAGTATTAGTATTGTGCGCACTAAGTTTGCCTTTTTAAATATATTTTCCTTTGTGGGTCTACTGGAAGTTATTTCAGCAAATTATGGAATAAGTAGAACCTTTGTACAAACTCACTACAAGACTGTGTCTGTATCTTGTTGAGTGTACATAAATAAATTAAAAAAAAAAAACAAAATAAAAAAAAATCCAAAATTAATTACAGTACGATTGCTAGAGAGATTTTTAATAAAAGTTAAGTGTTTGAAACAAATTTATATTAAGGTTAAAAATCTGAAGCACATGTCAAGAGAAACCATTAAACTGTGCCAATTATTTTGATTATAGTTGGTCTGATAGCGGTCGAAGTGCTCGTGTTTTTGAGCGCGAGTTTAAATGGAATATTTTTGTTACCTACGAATACTTTTCGATATGAAGCGGCTGATTCGGTGATAAAATTCATAACTAATATTGGATTTTATTAAAATTAATTCACGCGGTACAAAATGTTTTCATCAAAGTAATTCATTACGTTTCGATATTTGTATAATTAATAACAAGTTTTTTTTTCATTACAACCTGTGGGTGTAATTTTCTGTGGGTGGATTAAAATTTTTTTTGAAAAATCTGCAAAACGGTCATCCTTGGAATTTCCCGCTTATTTTCGAGCGCAACGCTCGACTTGAAAATCTAATCAGCTCGAAGTCTCAATGAACAATTTCAAACGCCGTGTCGCCCATCTCGATCGGTTAATTTGTTCGAAAGATATCGTACCACAAAATTGTACGAGTATTTACATACATACACACACACACACTCACACGGCCGGACGTCCAGCCGGAAAAAGTCGCGACGGTTTCCTAGGACCTCAAAACGTGGAGATCTGATGAAAACTCGCAGTCTTAAAATCGAACCGAATTTGTAACTTCCTACTTTTGTAAATTATTATGGCTCTATTTATTATATATTTATTACTCTGTATGCTGGACCTAAATTACGCGTATCGGCGATGGGGAGCAGCATCAAAGATGCTGGTAGGTACTGCGATCTCTAATTCATGTGTAACCGAGTCCTTTCCGATCGGCTCGACTCATTGGCACTGCGAAGAGATGTTGCATCTCTTAGCATTTTCTTTCGCATTTACCATGGGGAGTGCTCTGAGGAATTGTTCGGATTAATCCCAGCCGCCAAATTTCACGAACGCACATCGTGGCAGAACTCCCGATACCATCCACACCATCTGGATGATTGGCGGTCCACCACTGTGCGATTTAGAAGATGTTTTCTTCCTCGCACAACTTCCTTGTGGAATAGTTTACCACCAGCGATTTTTCCGGACCGATACGACTTAGGGACCTTCAAGAAAAGAGCCTTCTCCTTTTTAAAAGGCCGGCAACGCATCTGCAATTCCCCTG